TCCCGGTCTGGAGAAAAAAGCCACCCCCTCCCCTCCCAGTACTTGCTACAGTGGCGGCTCCGTCCTCTAGAATGGTCCCCAAATCCCCCTGGCTGCCACATCCTGTGACACTCTCCCACAATGCATAGTCTGGCCTGGGTAACAAGCAGGGTGTGGCAGACATAACAGAGCGAGTTCCCAGGCTGGCTGGAAATGACACCAGGGCCTTGTCCCGCCCTCTCGTAGACGGCCCTCTCTGGTCATCCTGATGGAGGATGCTCCGGCCAGCCCTGGAGAGACAAACCTGGGGACGGAGGCTTTGTGCAGGTCAGTGCCAAGCACCTGTGAGGAGCCTCCTTGGAAGGAGGCCCTCCCTGCAGCCCCAGCCGACAGGCCGCTCGCAGCCACAGAGGCCCCAGCCAGAAGCACTCAGCTAAGCTATCCCAGAGATCTGGCCCGCAGGGGCTCTGAGAAATGACACACTCATCGTCTTAAGATACCAAGCACTGGGTAACTCCTACAGCCCTCCAGGCAGTCACCAAGCTCCATCAGTACTGAGCACCTAACAGCAGCTCACGCTTGGCGGCCACCACGCCAGAGTCACAGAGAGGAGCCACACAGACATGGCGGTGCTGTCGGGCTGCATTCCCAGGGAGTCGCTGAAACAGACAAATGTAAGGATGGGGGTCACACTGGGAGGGGAGGAAGCCAGGGGGCAGGGTGGGGAACAAAGGAGGAGCCAGTGGGCCCCCTGCTGTGGTGCTGACTTTTCTTTGTGGGGAACCCCAGCACGGCACTCGAGGAGCAGAGGTGGGTGTGCAGGTGGGGGTGGAAGGTGGAGGGAGGCCAAAGGCACACAGGCTGAAGCTAACTCCAAGGACAGCCACAAGCCGAGGGGATGGGGTGGCACAGACACTGCACCAGCCGCCACAGCTCTCTCCTGGACGCCCAGCCTCCGGGGCCCTGCCCTGCCAGCACCCAGCCCGTGGGGCTCGGCTTCGGCCACACGGAGCAGACGGAGATGGGCAGGCAGGGCCGGCCACCTCATGGGTGCTCGGAGGAGCTGATGGGACGGCCCCTGGTCCAGCGCCCACCAGGCTCTGAGCGCTCCTGATGCCACAGACGCACGCTCTGCGCCCACGGCCCTCGCCGGTGAGGGCAGCTGAGGAGGGGACTCTGAAGACAAGAGGTCTTCCGTAGCCACGAGGGGCCGAGCAGTGGCAGGGGGGGCACAGGACCCCGGAAAAAAAAAGGGGGCCGGGGCGGGGGCGGGGAGGCCATAGGAACCGGGGCTGCCGGGAGAACCTGGACTGTGGGTACCACGGGCAGGAGAGGACTGCGAGCACTGGGAGGGGAGGCCGTGACCCCGAAAGCACCTGGAGTCAGGCTCGGGGTGGGGGTAGATGAGGGCCAGGGCTGAGCCCGCCAGGTCACACTGCGGCCGAGGAAATCATGGGGCCACGAGCCGAAAAGCTCAAGGGCTCGCCGAACAACGTGCTTTTCAGCTTGTCCAAGATGGGCAGCCCGGGCCGGGGGGCGCTGAGCAAGGAAGACAATCGGAGAGCAGCAGGCGGAGGGGCGGTAGCAGCATGAGCCCATCTGTGGCCGGCGGGGACATGCGCCCCCCAGCCGCAGAGAGGTCCTCCGTAGCTGCGGGCGCTGAGCGCTGAGCCGGGAGGCAGGACGGCTACTGGCGTCTCTGCTCACCTGTACTTCCTCATCTTTCTGCAAAGGATATGCATTGCTTGCATAAATAAAAATCAACGAAAGCTATAAATAACTAGCCCGCTCTCTCTTCAGGGCTTAAACTGGATGGATGTCCTGAAGTAACTGTTTTCAGCCCAGTTATTTCAAATATTTGCTGGATTCTGGGCGTTAGAACAGCACCTTTCCAGAACACACAGACGGTGGGCTGAAGGGGCAGACTGATGGGGACACCAGTTCTGTCCTTTCGAAATGACACTCCAGGCCCGACAGGACAGGAGCGCTTCCTCTGGAGCACAGAGGCCCCTTTGAGTCCCACGTCATGCTCCCACGTTCTTGTGGGACCAGCCTTTGCACTAAATTGCACTTTGTGGTTCCTGAAACTGTGGCGCGTGTGGGAATGAAAAGGTGGCCACGTGCCTACCTTTTGGGAGCGATCCTCAGTTTCTTCTGCTTGCTGTTCCCACGAGACGTCTTCGCTCTCCTACGAGGCAGTCTTTTCTTCAGTTCTGGCTCAGACCCCGGGTCCTGGGACGTCACTCCTGGGAGTACTGGGTGGGAGAGCTGCAAATACCAGGCGTGGTGACATCACATTGCTCAAAGTCCTTGGGGCAGGCACAACCCTGCAGACGGGATGTCCGTGTGCAGGAGCCAACGGCAGAACCTCATTGGCAGAGGGCCTGAGCCCCTAGGGGGCTCCAACCAGTACCAAAGCACATTCCTGGACAGGACAGAACCTTCTAGAACCCTGTGTCAGCTGGACCCATGGAGGAAAGTCCAGACCTTTGGTGTTAACTGGAGGCAGAGGAACTCCAGGCCCAGCTCCTTTTCCCTCCCCAGGTTCCCCAAGGATCCCCCACTTCTGAGGGAAGAAAGGCTACCCTGACCTTGGGCCCCTCGGTCCCAACACATTCTCTGTGCCCGGCTACTCCCAGGGTGCGGGAAACCCTGCCCACTGCAGACTCCCTCCCGGGAGAGCAGAAGTGCCCCCACACCTCTGGTCTCCAGGCCTTTCCTGTCACCCAGGAGGGTCACGGTAGAAGGAAGGCCCCAGGATAGCCTTCGGGAGCCCCAGCCCAAGGCATCCCCGAGCGGGGACACTGTCCCCGGGCTACCAAGCCCAGGTGTGCAAACGCACCTCCAGGTGAGCCATATGCTACCGTTTAGTCACCAAACAAGGACACCCTCCAGCATCCACATTTCCCTTTGTCCCACTGCTCCCAGGAAGCTCAGAGGCAGGTTTCAGTCTGATCATAGTCATTCATTTCCCGGAGATCCCAGTAGAAAAACTCGATCCTTTTAGGAGAGTTTGCTTTGGTTTGGTATTTTGTCTCCAGTGCTTGTTTTTAATCTGGAGTCTGTCTGTCAGTACGGGTCTCTGGTTTATCATCTTAGATCGCCAGACAGCGCTTCTGAACGACGCTTTGTTGTCTAGCTCTGAATATCCCATCCCGAGTGGCGGGCAGTTCTTTCCTTTGAAATGTATTTTGTCACGACTTTTTCTTGTTTTGGTTTGTTTCGGCTTTATCTGCTCCCCCCCCCACAGGTGGTAGCTGTGACCTCCCTGGGAGCAGGCTGAGAAGACACCGTCCTGGACAGCAGCTGCTGTAAGGACAGGGTCACACGTGCCCCGTCCTCCCAAGGCCCTCCTGCCAGCCGCGTGCCCCAGCCCCACGCCCTGGACGGACGGCATTACCTTTGATGTCTGCGCCAGCCCGCTGTCCCCAGGGCGAGTCTTGGTCCATCCTGTGCTGCTCCCAGGTGGGGGTTCGGGCCCCTCACCCCTGCGGTTGCCCCCAGGGGGGTGCAGAGACCCACACAGAGATGCGGCCTTCTCCTGCTCCAGAGGCAGAGGGAGGCTGCGGCTCAAGCAGCACCACGTGAGCCGGGGCTCGGCCCTCAGGGAGGGGAAGGAGCTCTGGGGCCCACTGCCCCTGGGGGTCCCTGCGTGGGGAGCCGAGGCCAGCTCAGGCTGCCCCAGGGCCGTGTCCTGTGGCCGAGCAAAGGGTGGGAGGAAGGAGCCTAGCTGGAAAGGACAGCAGGGCTTGAGCCCTGCCAGGGGCCCTGAACGAGGCTCTTCTGGAGTTTTCCTGGGAGACCTGCCCAGCTCCCCGCTGGATGCCCAGAGGGTCAGGACCCCCCCAGAGGGCCTCCCCATGCAGAGGTGATGGCTGGAGAGGGTCTGCCCCCCTGCACCCTGGGCCATGCGGGTGTCACACGTGGGAGTGGGCGGGAGGGAGGCTGTGCCCCTGGGGATCCGTAGGGCAGAACCAGGAGACTCGCCGGCTTCCGGGGTGTCAGTGTCTAGCCTGCCGCCCTCGTCCCCCCCCACCTGCTCTCCTTTTCTCCCCTCCCATGGCCTGGGCCGACACACATCCTCCGAAATGCTATCTGCTTCACTCGGGGCCGGGCCTGAGGCTGGGCCAGGGGACAGGGGGCTTCCTAGTCCAGGCCTAGCAAAGGATGCCTGCTCCTCGGGCTGCCCCCTCCCACAGAGCCAGTCCCGGCCTTCCCTGGGGCCCTGGGCAGCAGGCAATGGGGCGGGGGTCTCTCCCTGTGGTAACCTGAGGAGGTACTTGGGGGAAAAGGCTCTGTCTGCCGGAGCAGCAGAGGGGGTGCCAGGAGCCCCAGGCTGGGTGTCCTGCTGCGAGCGACACCCTGAGGCCACAGGCTGCGAGGCGGGCTCCTTGTCCTTTGGCCATGTGAGCCTTGAGGCAACAGAGGCAGCAACTGAGGGGGCACCAGTGGACCCTGGGGGCTCAGCCTGTCCCCCTCTCCCACGCAGCGTCCCTGGCATCTCCCTGAGGTCACGGTCCTGCTTCGGGGATAGCAGTGGGGAGGAGGTCTGTGTGTGGCCACCTGGAGTCTCGGCCCCCAGAGGCTCCGATTGCAGCCAGTCCCCCAGCTCCTCCACCTTCGGCTTCTTCTTCTCGGAGGGAAGCTTGTCCCCCACTGGGTGGGGCTCCCCAGAGCCAGTATTGGGCAGTCTCGGGACAGTCTGAGCCCAGGGACAGGTCTCCTTCACGTCCCCCCCTCCATGGGCACCTCCTTCCAGCCCGGGGTCTGGCAAAATCGGCCTGGGGACCTCCAGGTCAGCTCCCTTCAGGGGCCCAGGCACTGGGGGCAGGTGCCGCCCAGGTCCCAGCCCCCGGTTAGGAGGCAGCAGAGGGCTCTGGCTGCCGGCCCAGGGCGGGCCTCTGCCCCCAAGTGTGGGCGAAGGCCCGGCCCTGCTGGCAGTGGGTAGCTCTCCGCCCCCTGCTCTGGCCACGGGCTCCCTCTGCTTAGGGCACTCAGTCACGTTGGCACCCCTGGGGGTTGGTGGACCTCCCAACGGCCCCTGCACAGCCCCAACAGAAACGTCCACAGAAACAGAGGTCCTCCTGTCCGTGGCCAGGCCAGTGCCCTGGCCTGCTGCTGCTGCTCCCTCGGGGGGAGGGTGTGCGTCCTGCCCACTGCTCGCTCTGGCCTCCCTGGCTTTCCTGTCTCCTTGGTGGCTGGCTTTCGCCTTCTGGTAGATCCTCCTGAACGTCTCCTTCCCATACACCTGCCACTTCTCCTGGGTGAACATCTGCCTCCTTGGGCAGCCTTTCCTCCCCGCCCGGCCGGCAGCCCCATCCCCCACAGCAGCTGCCTTTCCATCAGGGCCTTCGGCGGGGGCCAGGCCATCTCCAGTCGGGGTGGCTGGCAGGTCCTCCACGGCCGACTGTCGGACCAGGGCTCTTGGGTGCGCACTGGGTACGGCCAAGCTCAGGCCCGAGCGGCAACCCCAGCGGGCGGGCACTGGCCTGGGGCTCAGCGGCCTCTGCGTCCTGGGGCCGACCACCCGGGGCTCCGGCCAGGTCCTGCAGCCCTCCAGGAAGGGCAGCGAGTTGCTCCTGGTGACCGGGACACATTCCACGGTGGTGGAGAGCTGGGTGGGGACAGAGTGGAAGAACAGGGGCCTCGACTTGTCCAGGGGTGCGCAGGCAGAGCGCGCGGGGCCCAGGGCGGCCCTCCTGCGGCCCGGCTCAGGTGCGCGGATGTCGAAGTGGAAGGAGTCCTTGTACGTGTAGGGCAGCGGCAGGTCGATGCTGCCCTGCTTGGACAGCACGGTCTTGCGGGGCCGCACGGTGTCCAGCTGCAGGTCCTCCACCACCGCCCGGTTGTGGGAGATGAGCTGGGCGATGCGCTCCTCCAGCCGCTTCTTCTCCAGCTCCAGGCTGGCCCCTGGTGCCACAGGTTCGGCCCTGGCTGGCACGGACCCCGGGCCTGGGCCTCCCTCCCCCTCAGACTCTGCGCTGTGTTCTGACAGGCTGTGCAGGGGACTGGCAGGGACCTGTGGCTGCTCAGCGCTGTCGGAGCGGGACAGGTAGCCGGAGTCAGTGCTCTCGCACTTTCTCAGCCGGCCCTCGGCGGCCTTGGCGTCCCAGGGCTTCTCCGAGGCCGAGGCTGGGGCCCTCGGCCCCCGCG